TGATTTTAGTTTTTTTAAGCAGAGGTTGAGTTCAATAATTTGTAGGGACCTCGGAGGATGTTGTAAAAATTGAAAGGAAAAAGGTTCCCCGCCCCTGCTGTAAATAATAATAAAAACCCTTGATTTATAACTTAAAATATCTGTCTCCTATTGATCTGAGTATATTATAAAGAATAGCCAGTTAATTGAAGCATTATAGCACAGGCCTTTGTCAGATGGTATATTATGCTGTTTCTTTCTGCTTCGAATAGTTCTCTCTTTTTTCACCATACCTGTGTTTGCATCACTGTGTATTGTACTGCAGTACAGCTGTACACAACTGACACTTCACTGTCTTCGTTGAAGTACTGCCATACATAAGAATGTCGGACGTGTTTTGGAGCATTTTGCAGCACCTCGTTTACCTCAATTTTTTTCACGACTAGTTGACTAGGGCCTACAGCGCCGACTAGTGGTAAAGGTAGTCGATTAGTTGGTGAAACCCCGTGTGTGTGTGTGTGTGTGTGTGTGTGTGTGTGTGTGTGTGTGTGTGTGTGTGTGTGTGTGTGTGTGTGTGTGTGTGTGTGTGTGTGTGTGTGTGTGTGTTCGAAAATACTAAAAATAATCTTAGATGCACTTTTGCAGTCTTTTTGCGTATTACAAACGGAGTTGGCTTAGATGTGTGCTGTTAATGACCCTACTTCACTGTGAACGCACCACTCCTCACCTATGGTTGCTGCTCGAGTTTGACCTCTTCCCCTCTCCGCAGGTCTTTGATGTAGTCGAGCCTTGCAGTTGAGATGAGTGATCAGAAAAATGGCGGTGACCACGAGGATGACTTAGACGAGCTGTCTGCCAGTGATGAATCTGAGCCTGAAGGTGGACTCAGCAGTGCTCCGTTTGACCCCGAGCTGGACGACGACGATGATGAAGATGGGGGGGAGGTTGTGCTCTCTGCTCCTCCTGCTGGACGCTTCGTTCAGAGTCCATTCAGTCTGAGAGGAGGGGGCTCAGCGTTCTCAAACCGCAGCCACAGCATCTTTGAATGTCTGGACAGTGTGGCCCGCCTCGCCTCCTCCTCCGCCTCTTCCTCCTCTCAGAACCACCGCCCCGTTTCAGACGGAGTGTTCGCCCGTCCTCTGCCTCCACCTCCCAGCAGGAAGACGAGCCAGCCTGCGCCCAGCTCCCCCACACCAGCGAAGAAGAGAGGAGTCCCCGACTACCTGGTGCACCCTGAGCGCTGGACCCGCTACAGCCTGGAGGATGTGACGGAGACCAGCGAGCAGGGCAACACCAGGGCCGCCCACAACTTCCTGTCCAGCCTGCAGCAGAGCAAGGAGCCGCAGGAGAGTGCTGGGGACTCAAACCTCCAACACAAGATGATCTTCTCCAGACCCAGCGGGCTAAAGGAACAACCTGCAGATCCACCCACAGCTGCTACAGGCAGAGATAAGGAGGCCCGCCTCCGGCTCCTGGAGGAAGAGGAGGAGGAGTGCAGGAAGAAGGACACACGCCTCAGTCATCTGGAGGAAGAGGATGACGTAGAAGAGAAAGAAATGGCTGAAGCAAGGAGAACCGAGCAGAGGGGAGGAAATGCTGAGGAAAAAGACACAAGGGCAGCTGTGGGGGGGGCAGAGGAGAAGAAGAAGGTTCAGAAAGGTGTGCAGGAAGGGGAGGACATCCCCTCCTTCAGGAAGACCAAGCGTAAGAACTACAGGACGAGCGCAGGACAGGAAGACAACTGACTCTGTTCATGGTTCATTTCAATGTGCTGCCCTTACTGTTCTCAGACCAGCTTCAGCCAACGCTGAGCTCTGGAGTGAACTATCTGTTTCCATGTCATCAGGCCTAGCTTACCACTCAGTAAAGTAGGCTAGTTTTACACCCATGGCTGAGGAGTGTTTCTTTCATTTACTGGCTTCATGTTGTTGTGTTCCAATGTAAAGTGTTGTCTGTTCAAGAGTCAGACGTGGTGTTAGTATCAGCTCAATGAGCCACAGCGGAGCGCTAACAGTGAGACGCTGCCTCTGTCTGACATCAAAATGCCATTGTGACTGTATCATATTAACTGTTATATGTGCTGAAAATAAAAGACTGATGACAAAAAGTATTTTAAAACAAGCATGGAGAGGGGCTGGGTTTAAACTGAGGGCTGAACCTGGGAGGGAATTAGATTCAGTGTTGTTTTAAAATGTCTTGTTGCATGTTCTGCATTTTAGAATAGTCTTAAATAAAAAAATATTAATTTGTATATATTTTCTGTCATCCTTTCCTGTTTTGACAAAAAAAAAATTGCTTATTGACAATGAGAGAACAAATATGTTTATTCCCAAATTCAGTGATGAAATATTGAATGACCATGTCTCTAGAATTTGTTTCGATCCTGCGGGTGGATGACACTGTCACTGAGGTTTCTTTAGATAAGCAGATCAAGTACATCCAGTCAGCATTGTGACGTCCTTTATCTCCGCCAGAGTCCACAGACTATCACAAGTCTTGGGTGAGAATACCAAACATTGACAAAATATGGATAGTGAACATATATATTTTAATGCTGTCAAAATTATCGCGTTAACGGCGGTAATTAATTTTTGGAATTAATTGCGTTAAAATATTTAACGCATTTAACCTATGTGCAGAATGGCCCGCCCCATACATCCCACCAGTGGCAACGCTGGGATAGGCTACAGCCATACCAAGAAATGGCTTAGCCCCACCATGAAAAATGATGTTAAAGTAAGCAAAATAAAGTCCGCCAACTCGCGCCGAGTAAATTGCAGAGACAGCAATTAGTAAGATTGATTTCAGTAGCCACTTGTCTGGAAATACCGAAGACTAGAAACGGTTTTGAAAACTTGTGTCACGTAGTGATCGTCTTCTCAATAGAACATCTTTGATAATGTCTTCTTGCCAATCAGAATCAAGATAACGGCGTGGTGTTGTTGCAGGAAGTCCCGACGGAGAATACTTTTGCTGCTTTTGCTGTAGTGCTTCTCTAAATACATCGATACGACATTACGTGTTGATAGAAATCAACACGTAATGAAATAAGACCCCACGGTTTGATGATTGGTGTGTGGGCTGTTGTGGATATTTTAAACTCGTCAATACTGTAAAGATGTACAATGAGAGTAATCAATAATAAACTGGTGAAAGCAGGCAGCGTTGTCTTCTGGTTATTTATTTGAAGCTTCAAAGGTACATGTCTCACAGAGTACAGAGTAGTCTGCAGGAGTGTGTGCAATAGTCACAAAATAGCAAAGCTTATATACAAGATAGGGCGGGCAGACAAAGTTTTGTGTAGCATGGCGGAACGCCTCAGAAATCCACTTTCACACGGTCTCATATCGCTATTTGGACACCTGTGTCCTTGAGCCATAGAAAGTACAACAGTCATCAAAATATGGAAGTTCAAACTTAGTGTGAAAAGGAGTAGTTTCAACATAGTCTGCCAAATCAGACCTGTGGCCTTGAAGCGCTTGAGAATAATAAACCTCATTAGAGTATGCAGAGGAAACAGCAAATATGAAGAAATGGTACAGTAGGGTTAGACAATGCTTTCAGAAGCATTTGGTTTTAGCATATAAGGTAACACAAGAAATTGCCACTACAGGGGCCACCAGAGGAACAGGACAAGGGGTTGGCAGGACCCCCGCCACAATGTTATAATAAACATACATACTGTATCATCTTTCCATTCCCACAACAATATACATAAAGAAATGGCATATTTTGGAAATAGTTCGAATGGTGATTAATCATGATTAATTATTTTTTAAGCTGTGATTAATCTGATTAACATTTTTAATCGTTTGACAGCCCTAATATATTTATTATGTAGGTGTAAAATGTATCTGAGGGACACGGAAAGTTCCGTTTGTGTTACCTTTTCTAAAGACTACGCAGATAACAAATGTTGCATAGCACTTTAATATGTTATATTTTTATACTGAGGTTTATTAACATGCTTCGTCCCTATCACATAAATGAATTAGCAGCCTGGGTGTTTGACACAGAGTACACAGTGTTGATGTTAAAGCTCCGAAACATGTGTTAGGATATAAAACAAAACATGATTGCTAATGGCAGGCAGTGATTGGTCAGGGTGAGCAGTTTATTACTTTTGTTCTCTAAATGTCTAGCGGTTGAAGCTAACGCTGCACCAAATGATTCTGTTCATTTCATAAATAGAAGGTGGGCAGAGCTCTGAGACTCATCCGGCTGTTTGAAGTAAGGGGGGGTCACTCAGTGTTATATCTGGGGACGATTTGATGCTAACAGACCTTTCAAGGGTCTTTTTTTAAAACACAGATAAGAGAATTGGCAAGTGGCTGGAGAGGAGCAGTCAAAACAAGCCTCGGTTCAGAAGTCCTCACCAGACTGTCTACAAATTCAAATTGTTTCTAAATCAGATTTCTTAATGAGTTTGCTGTGTATCCTGACACCAACATCATGCTGTCTTTAACAGCGTTCTGTATGTGCTATCCAGAATCGGAGGAGAACTTGCTCTCCTGTACCAGTCGTCATTTAAAACATGCCTCTCCATTAAAGGAAAAGCCCATGTGCTTTCAGAGGACAGCCTTGTTAAGAGCGCTCTATCAGCTGGCACTATCAGCAGGTCCTCCAGCAGAGGAAGGCTGATGTCTAACGGTTTTAAAATGGATCCTAAAGACAAGAGGGAACTGAGCGTGCCAAGTGACTCATGTCAAGTGGACATCCTTATCTGTGAAAGATGGGGTGGCTCCCTCTTGCCATGGCTCTACGGCTCTCAAGGCAGCCAGGCAGTGCTGGAGGACATTCAGACGGAAAGCAGGGTAACACAAGGGCCTCAGATATTAGAATCATTTAAGGCTAAGACATCAGAAGTAAGACGAAAGGGTAGGACAGAAGGCAGTGTAGATCATGAGTGTATCCCGGATCAGGTTTACTGCAAGGTGGATTAAGTTCTGAGTCCAACAGGGTAGAGGTTCAGGAGGAGCAGAGGTGGATCGGTCCCATCAAACGGCTCCTTTCAGGCCACCATGACGGAGTGGACCCTGCTCAAACGTCTCCTGGATGCCGTCCACCAGCACTCCACCATGATTGGTCGCCTGTGGCTCACGGTCATGGTCATCTTCCGTCTTCTCATTGTTGCCGTGGCGACTGAGGACGTGTACACTGACGAGCAGGAGATGTTCGTGTGCAACACGCTGCAGCCGGGCTGCTCCACCGTCTGCTACGACGCCTTCGCCCCCATCTCACAACCACGCTTCTGGGTCTTCCACATCATCACTGTGTCCACGCCATCCCTCTGCTTCATCATCTACACCTGGCACAACCTGTCCAAGTTGCCCCACGCCAGCCAGAGGCAGGGGCCTGCACAAGCCGGGGTCCCAGGGCAGGGGGGCCCGGACTTAGGGTGCCGTGGCGGACAGGAAGTGTACGACCGGAGCTGCGACTCCGACAGCTGCTCCATCCGCTCTCATAAGCATCTGGGTCACAGCCTGGCAGATGGGCTGGAGGGCATCAACGTCCAGAGCCTTCAAAGGGGGGGCCCAATCAACAGGGGACCCTTGAGCCATGCCCAAGCTTGCGCCCTCAGAGAGGGGGGTGGGGAGGCACAAGTGGTCTCTGGAGGAGTTCTGTCCAAATGTTACATCTTCCACGTGTGTTTGCGGGCTCTCCTGGAGGTGGGCTTCGTCCTGGCCCAGTGGAAGCTGTTTGGCTTCCAGGTGCCTGTCCACTTCCTGTGTACATCCCCCCCCTGCAGCCAGGCGGTGGACTGCTACGTGTCCAGGCCCACAGAGAAGACCATCTTCTTGCTCTTTATGTTTTGTGTGGGAGTTTTCTGTATAATTCTCAACGTGTTAGAGCTCAACCACCTGGGCTGGAAAAAGATCAGGCAGGCCGTGAAGCTGAGGGAGAGGGGGTCCTGGGGGGTCTGTCCCGGTATGAAGAGAGGCTATGAAACGTTCCCTCCTGACAGCCCCTTTCTCACACCTTCTTTAGGCTTCAGAGACGTGACCAGCACCGCCTCTCTGCCCACTTTGGACTTGGTGGTGGGTCACCAGCCTGACTGGACCTGTGCTGTGAACTGTGGCAGGATGAGGGAGGCTGAGGGGGTCAGAGAGACCAGACCGGAACCCCCAAAGAGACAGGATTCTAAGAGAGGGGGGAGGAAGCCACTGAAGAGCAAGAGGGTGATCAGAGAGTCCAAACAGATGAGTGCCGAGGTCTGGATCTGATGGCCTTCACTTCTTTTACAGAGGATCTCACTTTGGAATTTAGAGAACCGAACAAAATGTAAAAGTTTAAAGGATTGGTTCACCTGAAAAACAAAGAAACACATTTCTTTAATTACTTTTTGTTAAAGTAGCTATACAAAATGAAAGTTGTGATGTTCACAGTATAGAGATGTGGTATATTTCAGTTAGGGTTAGGGTTAGGGTTTTAACACTTTTATAAAGGCTTTTTCTTTAACACAAAGATGTTCAAATAAAAACCTTCCTAGTCTATATTTTCTAGAACCAGCACATTGCTTTCGAGAATAAATATGGTTCTGGTGGATTATTAGAAATACATTTTTGGATGCCCACAAAAAACATGAACCAACATTGCTAGGTAACGGATAACATAAACGGAGTGGCTAGACTTCTGAGGTCAGATACAGTGTTATCAGGCCCTGCAGTATATCCACCTTCATGGAGATAATAGGGTTCATGTTTGGTTACAACTGTTCAAGAGAAGTGTGTTAGTTCAATTCTATTGTGATTGTTGAGTCTGGACTATGCCATTAGACTATTACAGTTTTCTAATGTGTTGTCCAGTCTGTGTATATCAGTGAGGTTGACTGGGTCGTCCAATGGCCTGCTGGTTAAGACGCGTACTGTATAACTGCAGGCCGGGGACCCTGTTGAATGTCATACATCTCTCTATCTTTCGGTTCCTGTCTGTAACTCTACTAATACTTTAAAAGTAGGCAAAAATAACAAAAAATTATATGGAGAAGCAGCTCCCAGTATATTGCAACATAATTCTCCAGAACCAGCAGCTTCAGCATCAGCTGAATCAACACCTCTGTGAATCATTTCCAGCAAAAACTGAACATTAGTCTCTTCATGACGTAAAGTTGATTGCAGTTATCTGTTTTTAGCTGCTCCTAGTGTACCAAATATATGCTAACCTGAGTGTATACAGTATATGTATGTATACGAATAAATCAATATGATGACTTTATGAAGCTGGATTTGTGCCCTGACCTGAACAGTTGACAAAGTTAGGAGCTTGCTCTTGTCTCAGATTGTGGCTGTAACATTAACGTTAAAGGGGGACAATGTTTCGGTCCTACAGTGTGCTTAACAAGAAAAACAAAAGCAAAGCACACGTGAGTAAGGATCAATATTTGCTTGACATTTATTTTTGCAATATATTTATTTATATATTAATTTACAACATCTAAAAAGCACCTTTTGCATGAATGATGCTACTGAAAAAAGACACAGACAAACTCAGACTGCCCAGCCTTTGCCTGGGAGCGCGTTGTCAAATGAATACAGCGAAGTTACAGAGCTACAGTGTTGACAGACAAATATTGTTTGAGTGTTTCAAAAGACTGCATGCCGGATTCAACCTGCTGATGGTATACATTGCATATGACATCACGTGCTAAGAGCTTTCCAGTATCCAAATCAATAATTACAATATTTAGGAAAACAGAATCATGTATGAAACATGTTGGCAATTGGCTAAATTCACAAACAATAAATAATGTAGATAAAGGATTTATTCCATCGAGAACCTCTTTAGACAAATCCCCAATACATACACATCCTTTGGAGGGGGAAAAAAAGTTGTTTGATGAATTGCCGGTATGCAATAGTGGTGAGACACTGTGTTTGAGCACGGAACATAATGAACATTTCCATAGCACTCGTTCATCACTACAACATCTGATTCCTGCCATACACACCACTCTGCTCTTTTGTTTTTGTAGTAAACAAGCTGTGTTATTTACTTTAACCCTAATCACCTCTGCTTTTACTTTGGATGATCACAAGCTATGATTACATTATTGCAAAATGTTTCAAAACTTATCAGAAGCAGATATTGTAAAAACAATCACTTCTCACTGTAGGTTTTTTGTTCTGACTACTAGGTAATTATTTGAACGTTAATCAGAGCAAAATTCTTAAGGGTTGCATTTGTGAGGAAACATTCTTTGTTGTTGCTGAACTAAAGTTGATGATATGACAAAAAAAGGCCTCAGATGTAACATTGAGATCATCTGCATCCCCACATATCTGATTTCAGATGCGATGAAAACAATAAAAAATCTACATTACAATGATTGAGATGGATACATTATAGTATAGTCCAAAAAGAATATCTTTGGTTATATAAATCTGATAATCTACCACTAGGACTTGGATATATCTGATATGGAAACTATTCTTATACACAAAGTGTAACACTAAGGAAAATAAAAAACAAAATATTAACATATGTCCATAAACATGTGTGGCAGGTAAATTCTAAAGCTTCAGTGCAATTCAGACAACTTTTCCTACAGCGTTTCAGTGAGAGAAGGCAGCCCCCCTACCTGACACAGAGTGGGCCTTACGGTCCTTGCATTGTGTCACAGTAAATCAGAGCATGTAAACAGAGAGAGGTACATTCAGACAGAATCTAGGTCAGAGCACAGCAGGCAGACAACAGCAGTCAGTTTGGGGACAGAAAAGACTGCACTGAACACAGGCTCTACCTGATATTATAAATCAGATATCCAACATGGCAAGAAACATGAACCGTCACACAATCAGGAAGGGTGTAAACACATAATCCAGATTATCTAAACAACTTTTGTTACGTCAAACTGAACCGTTGCTAATGATCCTTGACTCTACAAAAAACTGTGTAAGGTGGGTCTCAATTATATCAGAACATGTGTCTGTAAACCATAAACTGTGAAGGAAGAACAATCACCTTCGCCTTCATTTCTCTATTTTTAAATATGAGGCTAACCTATTGGCTTGATTAAGGCAGCATTTGTTCATTCAGTTGTTCATTCAGACACTCGGGGGCAGAACTCTCCAACCTGCTGTTGGCAACATAACACACACATTTAGATTGTGCTTTTATCCAAAGCAACCTACATACACTTTAATAGCGTTATTAAAGTGTATGTAGGATAAGTGGCAATCTGGTGACGAAGTCCACCGGACCAGGGACAGCTGTGGATCGGCAGTGGCTTGAGCAGACCCCTCGTGGGCCTGGAAGAGGTTTCATTCCCTGCACAGATGGAGCAGGCGGCCATATACTCTTTGACATCACGTTTACATAGCTGGCCACTAGAACCCTTGTTTGATGAAGTACATGGTTCTTTTAACCCCTGGATGGCAGGTGAGCAGCGAGGGGTGTGAGCCCAATGAATGACCTGAGGACGCACAGATACAGGAACAAACAGCCTATATTTGGGGGGCAACCGCTTGGTACCGGGCTCTCACGTTAGCTCGTTTCCCCTCTGTTTCTATTGGCCAGGTTACCGCTCCCACCACACAGTTCAGCAGAAGGATGGGTTCTGGTTTCTTGGCCAAGAGTTCAGGATCAAAAACACGAGAAAGTGCGTCTGGCGTCAATGTGTGGATAATGTCTTATCAACAATTGGAAGCCTAAAACGAGAGGGTGTTGGCAGAGTTAAATACATGAAATGTCATTCATTCTGTGTGGTTGTGATTTATGATAACCTGGACAGGCTGTGTGGTGAGTGACCTGAAACAATAATCTGGGGTGCTGGCCTTGGCCCCTGGTTTGGGGTAAGGGCATGGTGTCAATGTTCAAACTTTTGGCAAGATTCCAGTCCATTTCGTCTGCTCCTGAACCAATGAGAGAGAACACTTTGTCAGACAGGAGTCAGCGTGGGATGAGAGTAGTCTGAAGTTAGTCGGCTCACCAGCGCCCTCCTCTTCCCTGGCGAGCCCCGGCTTTTACGTCAGGCGTCCCCTGAGGCGTCCTCAGGGGTCAGTTTTGCTCGGTTCAGTTGCATGGGTTCATCTGACGCAGCAGGAGTTTTGTGCAACACTCTCGAAGAAGAATCGTCCCCCATACGGATGCAAAGAGGGGGCCCTGCATGTATGCAGCAGCTGAAGGGGTTTGAGATCCAGCTTCCAGGTGAGCAAGGACACGGAAAGTTGTTCTGCCATGTGTTTAACTTGGCTATTCCCTGATGTTTGGTAACTCTCTTGACGACCACTCAAGTCTTTGATAATAATTGATTAATTAATTTGAATAACAATTCAAGTTAGTAGCTATTAAAGGCATAAAAAGACAGAAATGTATAATTCTTTCTTTAATATAAATGTTTCTTCTGCCTGTAAAGTGTCCAAACCAGGCTTTTCTGGATAAGTGCATTTTTAAAACATAGTCATTGTCCATGTCGGTTTCAGATTATTTGTCTCCTCCATTTTGTAGATTATTTACGACTTTTGAATCCACATAAACACATCGGCAAAATCTGGCTTACTTTGAGCTTGTGTTTTTAACAGTTTAATCCCTTTGCGAATTGTTTCCACTCGCGTCGTCCTTTAATTTCTTCATACAGCGGGAATCCAAATGAATTCATCCTGAGTCCAATAACCATCAGTCACTCCAATAGTGCTCCTTAATTACGCTTTCATCCTCCTTTAACAAAATACTTCACATTCATCCAGTTTGTGACAGTAGTTGTAGCATTTTTGAGACTTAAACTTTAATTACCGCTGTTGCGCAGTTTGTACTGGCATATGATTTGTTTGGCTGGCGCTTCCGTCGACGCTTGAAAAGTCGAACTTTTCTCAACTTTCGAAGCGAGCAACGGAGGCAAAGCGATGCGACGGAACCACAATGCAGTTCGGCAAAGCATGACGTCACCCCATTCAAAGTTAATGGTTTCGGGACCCGTCTGACTTCTTTTAGCCCCGTCACCGTCTTACCGATCTCAACCATTAACTAGAGGAGAGATCCAGCAGAGGAGAGGCACACAGCAACGACATAAGACATGATCAGCACCAACGGGAAGCAGCGTCATCAGAGAGGACTGATAGGATATTAGACTTCTCGGTCAGATCAAAACCCAGGCCGTGTCCCGCTCATGTCTTAGGGTTCAGTTGACTTCAGGTTCATAAATATAAACATAGAACACAATGTTGGGACAAAACTGCTACCCCTTCTTTTCAGCTCTGGTTGAGCTGGTCCTGTTTCCTTCGGCCCG